CGAGTCTCCTGCCTCCGCCTCCCAAGTAGCTGGGACCACAGGCGCCCGCCACAACGCCCGGCTATTTTTTGGTTGCAGCCATCATTGTTGATTGGCGGGTCCGGGCTGGGGATTCAAACCTGCCACCTTAGGTGTACGTGGCTGGCGCCTTAGCCGGTTGAGCTATAAGCGCCGAGCCACAAAGGACTCTTTTCAATGCTTTTTTAGTCTCCATAACTACTACTTTGCCTTTACTACTATATCACATTTCTTTGGGTTCTATTTATAAATGTTGTCCTCTAATAATAAGGAGAGAAGCAGCTTAACTACACTGCAAATACTTTTCTAATTTCTAAAAAAAGTTTTAGAATGACTACTCCTGAGAAGGCTTCTTACAGTGGCCAATTCTACCCACTGCATGTTGAGTTTTCCTGTAACCGGAACAAGTGCTGTTTTCTGAACTTTGCCTGTTTTAGGTTTCCCTGAATTTTTATGTTTATTTAGGGGAGCCTATTTTTCCTTGGGCTTTTTTTCCCTCTTCTGTCTACTGACATGTTTAACATAAAATACTCTTACCTTGCTATAGATATTCCAACAACACAGCCTCCAACTATAGACCAAAATCCAATCCAGCCAGCATCTACCTGTTAAGAAAGTAGTAGACACATTTAATATACAACTACCATATTACAATTGAGAAGGAATGAAAAAAAATCCTCTAAGCAATGTTAATAGCTAAATGGCAACATATCTTGAAAACAGCATTAAAAAATGGATAAAAGTGGATTCACATACAACTACTCAACACAAACTTATCTAAGTAAACGTCCTGATTAACTTATTTTTTTTTGAGACAGAGTTTTGCTATGTTGCCCTCAATAGAGTGCCATGATGTCACAGCTCACAGCAACCTCAAATTCTTGGGCTCAAGAGATTCTCTTGCCTCAGCCTCCCAGGCAGCTGGGACTACAGGCTCCTGCCACAATGCCTGGCTATTTTTTTGTTGTTGCAGTTGTCATTGTTATTTAGTTGGCCTGGGTTGGGCTCAAATCCACCAGCCTCGGTGCATGTGGCTGGTGCTGTAACCATTGTGCTACAGGCACGGAGACTAACTTTTTATTTAAATATTTAAACCTACAAAATTGTCAATGTCATCAAACAAATATTTTTCAAGTTACTGCCTTACATTGTTGTAGAAACTCAACAAAATAGGAAAAAATGGAAGATGTTCAACATTATCAACATATATGACACTACTAGGAAATAATTAGCTGCTATAACATTAGGCAACCAAAAATGAGAGAGAGAGAGAGAGAGAGAAAGAAATAGAGACATGTGGGGTTGAGCACGAGAGTGGATCCAGAAAGAGAAGATGAGCTGGGCTTCAACTGTACAGTTTGTTTCTCTCTTGAGAAATGTTTCCAGCCCTGCCATTTACTAGCTTTATGACGCTGGATAAAATATGTCCTTTTATCTGTAAAATGGATTACATGAGAAAATTTGTGTACTTAAGGTTAGTGGCCAACATACAGAAAGTGTTCAATAAACACAGGCTATTATTATTTATTATACATAGTAATACCCCATGATACTTCTCCATCTCTTATCTCTCTTACCTTCATGGCCATGATTTTTTCAGAGAAATCTACAAATGCTGCCTATATTTCCTCAACACTTGTGTATCTTTAACTTCATGGCTTGGCTTTTGTCCCAATTCATACTCAGTTTCTGCATTAGTAAAGTGGGGATACGGTTTTTTTGATGGTTAGATAAGTAAATAACTCAATATATGTTAGTTATTGCTATCAATGAAGTTCCATGTGTCCCTAACAATACTGGCACATCGTGTCTCCTTTCTCCCACGACCATCATGTTTGCTTTTTTGTACCTTATTACTTCCTGACTCCTGTAATAGCGTCTTAAATTCTTTAGAATACTCTTTGCCTGCTATTGTCCAAATCATCCCGCTTCCCTGCTTAGAAATAGTTACTGGCTTTCCTTGTGGCTATAAGAATGTCTAAACTTGACCTGGCACTTGAGTATTGTCCATTCTAACTTCTACCTTTTATTATTTTTTGAATCATATTTTTTATTACACTTGTGATAGGGATGGCCAGCTGACCACCAAGTCTGTTTATTTCTTCTACCTGGGTACTTAGCTAGATTACACTTCCCAGCTCTTGTCTGGCACATGTGAACATGTGACTAAGTTCTCATTAACAGAAGTGAGCAGAAGTGATGTACGCCAGCTTCAGCTAAGAAGCTAGAAGACAGTAGTATGCCTCCTCTATGCTTTCTTTCCCTTTCTGCCAGCTGCAGTCTGGGTGTGGTCGCTCAGCTGTACCCATGCATATAACGACAAAGTTCTATGGGACAAAGCAGTGTAAATCTCTAAATTACCCTGAGGAAAACAGATTTCCCAACTGTGGACAACTGTCTTAAATTACATGTATTATGCTCACTGTCCTAGATTGCTATCTGAATAAGAAATACATCTCTTCTCTCTTTTTTTCCCCCCCTTCCTTGTTCTGTTGCTTGGCTTAGAAGGGCAGTGACATCATCATAGCTCACTGTAACCTCAAACATCTGGGCTCAAGCGATCGTCTTGCCTCAGCTTTCCAAGTAGCTGGGACTACTGGAGTGCACCACCATGCTTGGCTAATTTTTCTATTTTTTGTAGAGATGGAGTCTCAGTTGTTTTCAGGGTAGTCTCGAACTCCTGTATTCATACAATTCTCCTGCCTCAGTCTCCCAAAGTGTTAGTATTACAGGCATGAGCCACTGTGCTCAGACAAATTTCTTCTGAAGTCTCAGAATTTTGGGGGCTTATTTTGCATAGCAGCTTAGCCTACTCTAAGTAATACAATAACTTTACACAAGTCTTTTGTGCTACCACTGTTTGCCACTGGAAGCAAGCATAAATGCTCTTAAGAGAAAAGTAATATCCTGAAGCTTAAATTATCTGTAGTAACAGTAGTAGTTTTTCATACCAATGGCATTTGAGGCAAAAGAATTCTCTTCTGCAGGACAAAGAATTCACTATCCATTGTCCAAAGCCCAACTAATGCTATTAGGCATCCACAAACATTTCTACATATCCCCCCAGTGAGTAGGTTCCTGTGCCAGGCAAGGGCTACTGTGCATCTGACTAATGCTGGGCCTTTCAGGCCATTTTGTGCTTTTCTGCTTCCTTTGGCCATGACATTCACATTAGTTAATAAAAGTCTATCCAATAAATAATTAAACACTTCTTTGCTTTAATTTATTTATTGCTTTCATTTAACTTTAAATTTCTAGTCCTTATCTTAAACATTGTTATTGTTGTTGAATTTCAAGCCTTTTTGATTTTGTGAAGGCAAAAAGTAGAAACCTAGTAAACACATGTATATGTAAAAATAAAAAAATCAATAAATTATAAATTTCTCTTCAATATCTGGTGTAATTGATTATCTCTGTATCTCAGTTTGTACAGAAAAAGATACTTGGAGATTTATAAAATGAAGCACAGATCTTCAAGATGAATACTATGTAAATGGGCACTACACTTTTGCTTATCAGAACTGAGCACACTCAGAATACTTGCCATCGAGAAAAACATGTCAGAAAACCAAAAGAAGGCTTTCTTCCTATTCTAAAAACACTACTATAGACCAAGTGCATGGGTACCCCCAAAATTTATGTTGGAAGTTAATCTCCACTGTGATAACATTAAGAGGTGAAGCTTTTAGGAAGCTCTGGCCTCATGAATGGGCGTAGTGCCTTTATAAAAGAGGCTGAAAAGAGCTATCTTGCCCCTTTTGCCATGTGAGGACAGCATGAAGGCCTCATCGTGGAGGCACAGAATGAGGCCTCACCAGATACTGCATTTCTATGCCTTGATCTTGGAATTCCTAGTATCTAGAACTGTGAGAAATAAACTTATATTATTTACAAATCACCCAATCTAAAGCATTTTGTTATAGCAGTCTCAACAGACTAAGACAGGAATAGTAGGCAGCAATATCGATTAACGGTCTCACTGAGAACTAGAAAACCTGGGGAAAAATTTATCTGAAGGCATCAGAGAGTCAACAAGGTAATACAGAATTATAAAACTATGATTTAGGATGCGAAGGAAACACAGAGAGAGAAGCCTTGTATTTGAAGACAATTTTCCTTCAGGGTTGTCTGCTGAGTTCAGAAAAGGTAGCTAAGGGGCTGAGAAGTTATTGATAGCCTCATTGTTCTAGGAAAGAAAAAATATGAGCTTGGGGCCTGTTGTAGGGTGGGGTGGTCTTGTGAAAACTCCAGGCTTTAAGATGGGTACTCTGAAGGGCTATACCCTAAGACTAGCGGGGACTAGAAATAGAAGAGCATTCTGAGGGACTAAAGCTTAGCTTTAAATGTTCTCAATCCTGAAACCAGATTAAGGTGATTCCTACACTCTTGCCAGGAAAAAAACCCATAAATTCTCTCTGGAAGAAAATAACATCATTTTGCAGCTTAAATTATCTCTATATCTTTTTATATATCATCTCTAGCACTCAGTCAAAAATAATTGAACACATAGAGATAAAAAGATGAAATATAGCCTGTCTCTAAAAAAAAAAAAAATAGCTAGGCATTGGGGCAGGCACCTGTAGTCCCAGCTACTTGGGAGGCTGAGATAAGAGGACTGCCTGAGCCCAAGAGTTTGAGGTTGCTGTGAGCTATGATGCCATGGCACTCTACCAAGGGTGACAAGTAAGAATCTATCTAAAAAAAAAGTATATCATAAAATGTCTGGCAGCTTCTACTCATCCTTCTTATAATCTTTTATCTGGGCTCCTGAGGCATCCTGTATGAAGTCTAACAACCTTGAGACTACCACACTAGAAAGGGGACATGTGGATGCCAAATTCATTATCACAGCTAAGCCCACCTTTTGTCATCTTGTTGGAGCCAAGCCACTGGTGGTAAAATAGGGAAAAGAAAACTATTGCCACTTCTGGCAGTGAGAAACTACCCAGGGACATCACTCCAGGGGCACAGTGAAGCAGTGGTGGACTCCAGGAGCCAAAGAGGAGATCTGGAGCTGAGGAAAACTAGTATAGAAGGTATAGAGATGGAAAGCAATATTTCAGGCAAATGGAAATCAGAAGAAAAGAGGGATTGCAATCTTATTTTCTGATAAAAGTGGATTTAAAGCAACTAAAGTTAAGACAGACAAATGTGGTCACTTCATTCTGGTCAAGGAAAACAATAAAATAAGAGGACATTTCATTTGAGTATATTTATATACTCAAACGCTCCCAGATTTATGAAACAGACCTAAATTGGTCTGAGCAATATGATATAAATATCTGGGGACTTTAACACCCCATTGAGAGAACTGGACAGATCCTCCAAACAGAAACTAAACAAAAATACCAGGCACTTAAATGTGACCCAAGAACAACTGGGCTTAATAGACACATACAGAACACACCATCCCAAGCTAATGAATATACGTTCTTCTTGTAAACCCATGGAACATACTTCAAAATAGATCATACCCTAGGATACAAATAAAACCTTAAAAAAATTAAAAGAATTGAAATAATTTCTTGTATCTTCTCAGACCACAGGCAATAAAAACGGAACTTAACTGCAACAAAACCTTTTATCCCCAAATAAAGGCATAGAA